TGCTGGCCGCCTGCCACAGCTGCCCACAGCTGTCTAACAGTGGGCTCTTGAGCATGATGGTCATTTAAATTCCCCTAAGGAAACAGATGCTAATAAGAAGATCAGCAATGAGTTTGACACTCCATTTGTGCCGAAGTCATCTTATGTTTCTCCTCCAAGCCCCGTTCAATCCTCATGGATCAAACGATGCACTGAACTAATTTTTAGGCGTTCCCCTGCGAAGCTACTCGTGCATGGTGATGATAAGGCTGTAGTTTCTCGGATTTCAAATTATGGCAATGGTCAAAAGCACTCGATGGATGGCAAATCTTTTGATAATGTTGGGAAGAGGCAGCAAAGGAGATTTTCTTTTGGAGAACCGAAAGTAATTCTTGAAGTACCATCTCCTGCTAAAGATATTAACGGAGTAAATGATTTTGAATCCGAAATTAAGAAAGATGTGAATAGAACTGTCACTTTACTTTCGGATGGATGTCACGTGAGAAAATGGAAAAGAGGTCGTGGGAACTTTAGAATTGGAGATCCACTTCAAGATCCAAGGCAGAATAAGAAACTGCGATTAGAACAGCCAATCGAGAATCCTTTAGACCAGATCAGTACTGACGGTACATGCAGGTACGGCCCTGGTTATCTATCTATCTATATATAATTTAAGATATAGATAGTTATTATATGTAGTTGCCCTATGGATTTTGAAGTTATCTATTGATTTTTATTTTCAGTGCAATTCCGACCCAATCAGATGTATCAAAGGTTCATCAGCTGTCAATATTATCAAATCAAACACTAGGGAACTCTGAAGGTGCTCATGTAGTGATGGTAGATAAAACTATACATGTATCAGAAGTAACTTCCGAGATGATTGATGCTGTCAGTGTCTGCAATCAAGAATCAAAGAATCATTTGCATAATCCTACAGTTGGAATTCACAAATTCAATCTTCATGGGAACAAAACTGATCAATCAAATTCTCAAATTAAAGAGATGGCTATACCTTGTGGATCCAGTATTTTCGCAAAATTGGAAGAAATATGCGAAGGAAACAACAGCGGACCAGTTCCGGAGCATCTATAGACAGTGAGTTACACTTACTTTGCTTCTGTGTTCCTTTTTTGTATGGAGACATTCTTCTATTCATATATTAAATTCATTGCTTAATTTGACATACTTTCACTTGAATCTACTCTCTACTGTCTAATATACAATTTTTGACATATTCTAGTTGATAATAGGTACGTTTCCCTTTCTTTTTTGTTTATGAATGATATCATTTATATGTTTGTGACACTGTCTGAAACTTTGAGTAATAATTTAACTTTCTAGTGCTGATTTTATACGATGAGAAAGGTTAGCCTAGCAGTTTAGCTTCCATCCTAGGCTCAGAAAATTCTGCCGTTTGCAGGCTGCCTTTAACAAGTTCCCTCAGATATTTATGCGTGTGCTGTGTCACCGTGAACATGGACTATAGGTGAGGATAAGGATATGCAGATTGGTAATGATAATTATAGATTCACCGAGTTTTGATTTTAATTTTATTTTATTTTAGATTTTTTATACTTCTAAAATTTGTTAACACTATTTTTCTCCTTTTAAACTAAATAAATTTTGAATTGGATTTATGTAATTTTTTTTAATTTTCATCATTCTAAAAATTTAAAATTATTACTTTTAATACTTAATGATCATTTTAAAGTATATATATAATATTATTTTAAATATTTATACAAAAAATTAAAAATATTATATATAAAGTATCAAAGACAGTTATAAGTATTATTTAAAATGATTACATAACCTTCTATGAATATATATAAATAGTTAAAATAAGTCATATAGTAATAGAACTAAAATAATAATTTTAAATTTTAAAAGAATAAAAATATTTTTTACAATAATTATATATTTATTTTTCATGGACAAAAGATATATATATATATATATATATATATATATGAGGAGAGATCTTTTTATTTTAGGAGTAAGTCTATCTAAATTTATTCCATTCAATAATTCATGTTTTATATCAAATTTCAACGATTTAAAATTTTTAATGTATAGATCAAATTTGTAAATTTTAAAAAAATTAAAAAAATTATTGGATATTTTGTTTCATTAATTCAAATGAATTAATGGGTAAATAAATTTTATTTAAGTCATTTTTATTTAATACTCTTAATTCAAAAATGACCCTAAAATAATATATATGAGCATTATCTACAATAATTATACTTAACAATATTTTAATAAATGTAGTGTACATGTTATGTGAAATTATGAAAATTAAACATATTTAATTAACTTTTTTAATATGTGTAAAATTAATCTTTTTTATTTATATATAGATGAGTATTAGTTACTTTTTTTTAAAAAACATATTAGTTACTTATTTTACTCATGTGATTACTGTGTTTTTTTTTAGAGAATCGTTTGATTAAAATACTAATTACTTATTTTATTTTCATATTATTAATGATGAAATAACATGATCATAAAAAATAATGAAATAATGCAAAAATAATAATGGTTTAACCAAACTAAATATTTATAAAACATTATTCAATAGTACGTGTTATCTTTTGCAAGAATCAAGATTTAAACCTTGATTATTCAATTAAATAACACAAAACCCCATTACTTACAACGACCTAAGTTGATATGATATATGTGATCTAAATTTAGAGATAAGTGATACATGTATTACAAATTATAAAAGTTAACATGAATTTGATGTATTGTAAGAATCAATTATTAAATTCCAAATCATAAATAAATTTTGCTCATATTTATTTTTATTATAATTTTGACATTTTCAAATATGTTTATCAATAATAATTTTCGTTACCTTAATTATCTTTAATTATTATTTTAAAAAACTATTGAATTTTAAATAACATGAATTTGTCTTATCAAAAGATATTAAGATTTGAAAATTATAATTAAGATAATTAAAAATTAAAATATTATCACCTTTAATAATAATATTTTCATTAAATTTAGCAATCATAAGTTTCGTTATATTTAGTAGTTATATTTATGTTAACAAAAAAAATATAACATTATAATAAATGTAAGAAAACTAATAATATTTATCTTTATTGAAATAGAATTTTCAAATTCAAATGTATATAGTTAAAAGTCACTCTTTAAAACTCATTAATTCTCAAAATTGAGTTACCAGAAACAACCTTTTAAATTTATAAAATGACAAATATAACTCCAATAAATGAAATCATGTGTCAGTAATTGAATTCATAAATATATTTATAGTGATAATGAAATATTTTATAATTTTAAATTGGTCAATTATTCAGTAAATATAAAAAAAAAATTATTTGTAAGAATAAAAATCAAACTATTAACTTACTTTAAAGATAGAAGTGTTTTTATTTATTTATAAATTTTAAGTAAAATATTATTTCTTGATGTCAAAATAAATGGAGCACAATTGTATAAGAATCACCGCTATAAAAGTCTAATTACTAAAATCATCAAAAAAAATTTAAATTTATTAGTGAAATCTAATTCAGTTGATTGAGCATGGTATGTGAGTTATGAAAATTCTCTAAATATCCATGTCCAATTTTCATGAATAAAAAAAATCATCACAAAATTTGCTCTCTCTATAATTATAATAAAAGTTTTGTGTACTCACTAATATATGATTTTATATTTTTTCAAAATAAAGAGACATAAACGGTCTCTTGTCTCTTTTTAAAGATAATAGTAGTGATAAAATTTAAATATAACATCATGATAAATTTCTATTATTAGATTAACCAAGCTTATTTCGCATACCCGCACATGTCTCAAAACATTCGTATAAATAATAGCCGCCTTAGATTAAAAGTTAGGTGTGTTAATCGTGCATTTAGCCATTTACTACTTCCTCCTTTATTAAAACAAAAATATTAGGTGATCCGCTACTCTAAATATAAATTGCACGCGATGCAGCTTTCATTTGGACGGCTCAAATATTTAGTAAAAATTAAAAATATCTTTTAATTTAAAGTGACCGATTTTGGACGGAGAAAATGGGCGTTGCAGTTTAAGAAGGGCGTAGAGGATCACTAATCCGTCTATAACAGTCAACCTTCCACTGATTCACATTCCTTGGGTAACCTAACACTAATCTGTGTCATTAGTCATTACAAGAAAGAAGAGATTGCGAATCACATAAGTATAACCCACGTGCACTTCACACCTTCTTCTTCTCGCTGTGGTTGGATTGGAGAGAAACAGAAAATGGAGAGCAGCGCCGTCTCCGCACGCATTCGACTCAGTCTCCCGATCTGTCCCTCGCGACATTCTTCCTCTTTCCTCTCTAGCCAATCTCCGTTCCTTTTCGCGCCTTCTCTCTCTCTAAAGGTTTTCTCCTTTTTCATTTCTCGCTCACTCTTTTCTCATTAGCTCCTTTTCGCGTAATCGATTTTCCGTTTGCAGATTCAAAAGCACTTTCCTCTCACTTCGCATAATGTTTTGGAAGCCGCTTCTCCTATCAGGCCTTCTGCCACTGTATCTGAATCCTACAGGTTTTTTTTTTTTTTTTTTTTTTTTTTTTTTTTTTTATCGTTTTAAGAATGTAGTATGGAGTATAATTTAATCTTTTAAAATCGGTTGTTTGTAAAGTGATACTTATATATATATATATATACTATTATAGTCTTATTGTTGGAGCACGAGACATCTTCAGTCTGAAGTTTGTTGGACTCGACATCTTTCAGTGATAAGATAGGTCTAACTACAATTAATAGTTGCTAGGATATAGGTTCTGATACCATATTATAACGTGGATTTGCTTTTGTTGTTTAGATGTAATAATAACTTGGAAATTGGAATGGTGCAGTGAAACCTTTGAGCTAGCTGACATAGAATGGGACAACCTTGGGTTTGGCCTTCAACCCACGGATTATATGTATATCATGAAATGTGCACGAGGTGGAACCTTCTCCAAAGGTGAACTCCAGCGTTTTGGGAACATCGAATTGAACCCCTCTGCTGGAGTTTTAAACTATGGACAGGTGGGCTTATATTTTATTTATTTATGTGAGGCATATTGAATTGCTTTTGAACTGATTACAATGCTTGGTATTTGAATTTGTTTAAGGGAACTGTGATTGATAGTAGATTGTTGTCGGTGTTGTTGTTTGTTTGATGAAGAATGTATATCTCTGGTTCACGAATGTAGGGATTATTCGAGGGTTTGAAAGCGTACCGGAAGCAAGATGGGAGAATACTTCTCTTCCGGCCAGAAGAAAATGCTTTGCGGCTGCAGGTAGGTGCGGAGCGGATGTGCATGCCATCGCCTACTGTGGAGCAGTTTGTGGAAGCTGTAAAGGATACAGTTTTAGCAAACCAACGTTGGGTGGGTACTGTAGAGCCCTGTCATTGCCATAGACATTTTAGATATTTTAACGTGCATGGATTGATTAGGTGATATTTGGTTTCAGGTTCCTCTTGCAGGTAAAGGTTCCTTGTATATTAGGCCTTTGCTAATGGGAAGTGGGCCTGTACTTGGTCTTGCACCTTCTCCAGAGTACACCATTCTAATTTATGTCTCACCTGTTGGGAACTACTTCAAGGTAAGGCATATTTACTTTTGTTTATATATGTATGTTTTTCAACTTCATTATCTTCTTTCAGATGGAAATAACAAATTTTGGTCCAAATCCCATATGCAAGAGAGGTTTGAAAGATTTACTCAAATATGGCTTAGAGACTGGGACATTTTTTTTTTGGATATTATGAGAATAGGGATGCAACATTAATTGGAAATTTGTTTTTTATAAGGTTTTGTTGATGTGACTGAATGGGTTGAATTTGCAGTATGAAAGGATGAAGAAAACTAACAGTATGAAATGAAATTATTGTGTTGCATGATTTATTTTCTACTTCTACAACTTTTATCAGTATCATGCTATCATAGTAATTATTATTTCCATCATAACATGTCATACTTGTATCTTTCTGTACCTTTTATTGTGGAAATTTAAAACGTACTTATACCCCTTCATAAAGTAATGGAGTGTCAATGTCACCACAGGAAGGATTGGCCCCAATCAATTTGATTGTGGAAAATGAATTACATCGTGCAACTCCTGGTGGCACTGGAGGTGTGAAGACCATTGGAAACTATGCTGCTGTAAGCCAGATTGCATCCCCTTCTACTTTCTTGTTTGTTGTCCACTGTCACTTGTTTTCACATGTTCCTATCTGTTTGCTTTATTTTTAAATCATCAACAATTTCAAACCCAAGATTTTTCAATTTTTTTAATTTTGTTTATATCTGTAACTAAATACTAAATCGCATTCTTGTACTTGCTAAATGGACAAGAAAACTGGATTTTCTTATGTAGCGTTCAGTTTTTTTCTCTTACAATTACTATATTTTTTTATTGATAGACCTAACCATTATAACAGCAACGTCACAGTGTTTGCTTTAGTTATTTGTTTGCTTTCTTAATTCTCATTTCTTGCCACTGGTATACTTTACCTTGTTTACTCATATTTTTAAATTGCTTCCTTTCTCTCTGTGTGTACATGTGCAATTATTCTTTGTAGGTTCTGAAGGCACAGTCTGCAGCAAAAGCTAAAGGCTACTCTGATGTTTTATACCTTGACTGTGTGCACAAAAGATATTTAGAGGAGGTTTCTTCGTGCAACATTTTTGTTGTTAAGGTATTATACTCAATGAACCAGTTTGAATTCAAGATATTTTTCATTGTTAATATGCGTGGCTGTTGCATGGTATTATTTGCCAGTAGTCACCGTGTCTTTTCTCTCACAAATACATAAACAAGGGCACTTTTATGCTAATCTGAATATATTTGTTAGTTTCATATAATTCTTGTTTGGATGGTTATGAAGTTTTTCAATCTTATTTTGTCACATGTTTTATTTAGGATGGATTCTGGTGTAATTTCATTGGTGCTATTGTATATATTTTGTGGCTTCCTTTATCCCCTATATTCACGTTTACATGTATTGTTTTCAAACAGTATCCACTTCATTAGAATTCACTGCGTCATGATTCCATTATTCACATTTCTTTTCAGGGTAACGTTATTTCAACTCCAGCTATTAAAGGGACAATCCTTCCTGGTATTACTCGCAAAAGTATAATTGATGTTGCTCGAAGCCAAGGATTCCAGGTACTAAATTGTAGTTAAGGAGAGATGATTGATAAATATTATTTGTTTGATATCTTACAATTGTGATATTTTTATCTTAGTGAGCTATACTTTCTAAATTACAATAACAACAATAACTTTATCCCACTAAATGAAGTTAGTTACATATATCATACAACACCATTTGGCTCTATTAAAAACCAAATTATTAAGGATATTATTTGTCATGATCTCATTTTTATAATTTCCTCTAATGTCTTTCTTGATTTTCCTTTTATTTTTTTTGACAAGGCTAATAACCATTCAATTTACTCTCATTGGTGACTTAAGTAGCGTTTTTTGCACATGTCCAAACCACCTTGTCTGATTTTTGTCATCTTTTTCTCAATAGGTGTTACACAAATCTCTTCTTGTATACAATCATTTCATATTGTATCACTTCTTGTATTATCATACATCTATCTTAACATTATTATTTCTACTGCTCTCACTTTTTTCTCTTGTTATCTTTTTCAAGCTATACATTCACTACCATAGAGTATAAATAGTTATCTAGCTATAGGATAAAACTTTTTTTTTTTTTTTTGAGCTTGGTAGGTACTTTGTAATCACAAATAATTCTTGACATTTTCCTCCATTTTAACCACTCGGTTTTCTTCCAAGTTATTTTCCTCTTATTTCTTGCTAAAATTGCAATGCTTGTACTTTGTTTTATCCTAACTCAAGTGAAAACCCCCATTTTTTTTGGACTAAACTATGGTATCCCACCAACCAAGAGCTAGAGACTTAATCTTTTGAGGTATTGATATATATTTAAGGGACTGACTTTTCCTTTCTATAGACACGAACATAAGGATTGAATTTCTAACCACATGCTTAAGAGACATGGTTATTTGCCAACCATACCACATCATGTTGGTCAAACAAAAGCCCTTTAATTTCACTATCTGTCTCCAAAGAAAGTTGAGTTATCCTCTTCCTGAATTCTTCAATCAAAATAATATCATCCGCAAAAAGCATCTATGTGGAAATAATCTTTTGTATTCTTGGTAAGCACATCTAAGATTGTATTTCAGATGGGACCTAAGAATAAGCCTCGATATAAATCTATCCTTATAGAATAGTACTTTGACACATCTCGGAGTTCTCACGCTTACGTCATTAATTGTCTTGTATAATTTGAGTATAAGCCTCAAAATCACCTTTCTTTTCCAAAGCCTACTACAACGCCTCTTGAACTTGGTTATATATAGGGATGACAATGAAGTCCCATGGTAGCAGTTAGTAGGGTACCTCTGTCCGCACCCTGTTAGATAAAAATTTGCCCCATATTTGCCCATACCTGCATGGATATCTGTTAAGTGGAAACTTGCGAACTTTATAAATACCCTCATATTCATGAATATTTGTGAATTTTTTTCAATTTTTTTAAAAAATATTATAAATAAATTTAAGTTTGTATTTGATGTTAATTCTATTGAAATATTAAAGATAAACAATTGACATTAATTTTTTAACTTGCATATTGCATTTAATGTTAATTTTGTTGAAAATATTAAAAAAATAATGCAAGATAAACATATAAATATTTAAGTAATTTTACTTAACAAATACTTGTGGGTATGAATATTATCATATCCACTCCCGTCCCATTTATAGATAGGTAAAAAAATTCTACTTGTACGTGTTATCTGCAAATATCCATTTAAACTATCTATTTATTCTCTGTGACAGATTTTTTCCATGGATATTGACGGATATAGGTTCTTTTGCCATCCTTAATGATATGTCTTCCAAATCAATTAAAACTATATGCAAGTCTTTTTCTTATCAACCATCATAGAAGATAAATAACTTTTGTTGTAAACCTTATTAGTATAAATCCTAATTGATTCTTTACAATCCTAGTGTGTTCTCTTAATCTATATCACTTTTTCTTGTAATTTCATAATGTGATTCATAAGTTTTATTTTATCCTTTTGTAGTTTACACAATTTTGAATATTCTCCTTGTTCTCATATATAGGAACTAAAGAGTTCCTCCTCCACCCATTTAGTAGTTTCTTACATCTCAATATCTTATTAAGTAGCTTAGTGAGCCAAATGATATCCTATTCTCCAACAACTTTACCATTATCTATATTCTTAAGGTTTTTTTTTTTTTTTTTTT